AGTACTAGTTGACCTGCCTGGAGGGGCCTGTAGTAGCAGTGGGGTGCTAGAGCTGGCTCTGAGAGTCCTCAAATAGGGCTGAGGGCCACTTTCGCAGACACGGGGGTTGGTAGGCGGCTGCTGCTTAGTGCAACCGACATCCATGAGAGCACCCTCTCTGTGTAGGCCCTGTGCCCCCAAGGATAGCACTTGTCTTTGTTGGGATTAAGTAGCAGGTGAGAACACTTCTTGGGCTGGAACTTCCTTCCTGTGTTAGTGTTTGGGTCACTCTCTCTGGCAGTGACCTTGGTATACCTCAGCTTTCCAGAAAACAGAGCAGCTTTCAGAGCATATGTGTGGGTATTTCTGAGAGAGAGAATGTAAATAATTTGTGGCCAATCATATTTGCCATTTTGTCATGGAGGCCCAGGACATCCTCCGTTGCTTATGTTCTCTAGGCTGGAATTTAGGGGAGGAGAAAGGAGCCTGGTTTGAACGGGGTGAGTCACTGATAAATTGGGCGTTGTAGGGGCCTCACCCTCGGGCAGCTGCTGTTTTGGCCTCTGGGAGGGACATCTGGAGAGGGTAGGAGGGGTGCTTTTTCCTAATGTGTTGTGGGTGTGAATTTTGCTCTGGCCAGGTTTGCCTTTTTCCCCCCCAGGCTGCTGTCTCTGAAAACCAGAGGCTTTCAAATGAAACTAGTGGGGGTTTAGCCCAGAGGTGGTTAAGGCTAACCACGGAGGCCCTCCAGGGAAATTGAAAATGTCACTCAAGATCTTTTCAGTACAACAAAGTGCCCCACAAACTAGGTCACACGCATTTCAGCTGCAGTACACCTCCCAGTTCTGAAGCCTTGCCTGCTTTGGTTTCCTCATGACTGAAGCTGTTTGACGTAGTTGGGAAAGACTGACACCCTGATCTAGAATGTGGATGTTCATGGGGTCGCATGTGGCCATGCAATCTGCAAAGAACTTTCTCCACAGTCTAAACCTTTGCTATGGAGAAGTTCAGTCTGGGGAAGGGAAAACGAGTGGCCAATCCTTCTGCCCCTCTGATAGACCAGCTGGCAGTATACTTACAGAGCTGCTGGCCGCTGGGCTTGCTTTTAACTGAATGTCTGTACTGACCTGGCTAAAGCTGAGATGGGCTGTGCAGCCCACTGGATGCCAGCTCTTTATTGCTGGTATTTGGGAAAACACGTTCAGGTTTGGATTCATGTTCTCCTTGTGGGCTGAGCTGGTCAGGCCGATTGTCATGTGTCTGTCTGAAGGAAGTCAGGCTGGGCCTATTGTCAAAGGAAGATACTATTTCATAAAGCTGTGAAGAGCCCATAGCCCTGTATCTGTGATCAGGGGATTTTGCTGCTGTGTCAAGAGTTTGGGAAAGGCTTTTAATCATCTTGCCAGCAGGCTTATTCTTTAACTTTGTGTACCAGTTCCCGTGATCCTGAACTTTGATGCGGAGTGCCAGAGGACCAACCAAGTTCAAGAAGAGAATGAAGTTCTGCGCCAGAAGGTTTGTTCTGAACATGCTTGCTCCTGGGGAAGAATTTTTGCTTTTCATGCATGCAGTTAGGTGGTGGCAGTGGAGGGCTGATTAAATACAGGGAAGCACTGACCTCAGGTTAAAGTGAGTCACAGAAAGTCAATTTTGGGGATTTGCCTTAAATGTCTCTGAAAACCAGAGGCGAGGTATTTTAAGTTGTATGTATAACATGAGCAACATAGTAACAGTGGTGAACTTTGAAGAGGCCAAGACTGTCTGCATCCATGCCTACAACAAAACTGTTTTCGTATGTCTGTTTTGTACCCCTGTCCCTCTCCACATAGGTCCACATCTGTATTCTTTACAACTCAGATAGAATTTAATTGTTCTGCTCAGTTCTGTGTTTCTCTAGTTCAGAAAAATGATAGAGCCAGGGGACCCACAATAACCTTCATGTTTTGCCTGAGAAGTATTTCTCCATCCTTGAAATTAAGGCATCTGGAGGTTGTATTTTCAGAAAAAGGAAGGTCTTAAGCTGTTTAGGTTTGGGGGTTTAAGATTTTTGGATTTTGGGGAGCTGTGTGTGTCTAATTTTCTTCAGGCGAACAGTCAAAAATGCTGAACTTCATTGAAAAGTGTTTTCCTGTGAGAGTTACAAAGCCAGATTTTTGTAGATTCCAGAGAGCAGAGCAGGATTGGGTGGAGCTATTTTTCCCAGTGAATTCCGGAGGAAAGCAAGTCAAGTGATAAAGGAAAAAAAGTGGGTTTTGTGTATCTAGTAATTTTTGGTTTCTTACCTCGCTGTAGTGAAGTAACAGCTGCAACATGCCCAGCTGTCTAATCCCATGGGAGTAGTGAGGTGGGTGCCCCGAGGCTGAGGCCAGTGGCCTCTTGAGCCAGTAAGGTTGGGTGTTGGATGTGATGTGTCTAATCTTCCTCAGCAGAGGGAAAATTAAGTAAGATCAGCATCTAAGTCACCCCCACCCCTGCACAGCTTTTTGCATTGCAAGCTAAGATCCACCGGCTAAAGAAAGAGGAGCAACAGCCAGAAGAGGAAGAGGCCTCAGTCCAACACAAATTGCCTCCCTACGTCTCCAGCATGGACCGCTTGGGGGACTTGGAACTGTGAGTGTGTGCCCAGCCTGAGAGGTGGCAGGGCTGTGCTCCCTCCTCTTGTATGTCCCCTGTGCCCTCACTTGGGGAGCATCTCACTGTGGCCCCCTGATCCTGGGCACGAGGAATCGCCCAAGGGCCACTTTGGCATGCCCTGTCCTGGTCTGAGCATTCTGAGTCAGGTCTCCTGGCCTCTAAGGACCTCTAGGAGCTGTTCCCCACTGCCCAGCCTCTAGGCCTGCCCAGAGGGAGGGGGCCAGCACACCCACATGTGCGCAGCCTGGATAAATAAACACAACTGCTGTCATAAAGCCTGGGGAGGTTTTTGTGCATTGAAAGGAGTGCACAGATGAAAAGATTGGCAGCCACAGGTTAGATGCATCCACAATAGAACCATACTCCTGTCTGAGGTTTGAAGAGTTAGGCAGATTGGGAAAGAGGTATCTGAGCAACCATAAAAAATAGACAGTTAAAGAAGAAGACCCAGGTGATTATAAAAGCAGCAGCAGTATAATATATAGCATATAATAATAATAGCAGAAATGGAAGCAATGGCAGGTCACACAGTTAATGATTGGTGAGTCAGGATGCAAACCCAGGCAGGCAGAGTCCAAACCTACACAAGCCAAGGGCTACAGCAGGTGAAGCTCTCTAGTTTCTGAGCTTCATCCGAAGGAAAATAAAATGCAAGCCAAATATGTAACTTAAAAAGTTTTAGAAGCTATGTTTAAAAAAAGTAAAAAGAGACAGGTGAAGTTAAAATTTTTTAAATTAAAGTATCATTGATATACAATGTTATGAAGGTTTCACATAAACAACACTGTGGTTTCATCAGTCACCCATATTATCAAGTCCTCACCCTACCATTGCAGTCACTGTCTGTCAGCGTAATAAGATGCTATAGGGTCATTACTTGTCTTCTCCATGCTATAATGCTTCGGGTGAAGTTAATTTTAATGATGTATTTTACTTAGCCCAACATAGGCAAATTTCATTTCAGCACGTAATAACAAAAAGTGTTCCTGAGCTATTTACCCTTCTTTTGTGCTAAGTCTCAAAGACCAGTGTGTAGTTCACACCTCCAGTACATCTCGATTGAGGCTCACCAGATTTCAGGTGCTGGGTGGCTACTGGACAGCACAGCGCTGAGCTTTACCAGATCCCTCAGGGCAGAGCTGACGGCTTCACTGTTACGCTGTGTGGGCTGCCAGCTCCCTTTGGTACAAGGAATAGGACCAAGGGTCATGCCGCCTTGGAGCCAGACCGCGAACCTGGCTGAGGCCCGGGTCATCACTGGTGCCGCCCACAGCCCAGGAGCTCTGTGCTCGGTTCTGCCAGGTCTCCCTCCAGTCCTGTGACCTTGTGGTGTGTCTGCTTGTCCAGAGCCATGGTGTGCAGCCAGAGGAACGCCTCCCTCTCCCAGTCACCTCGAGTGGGCTTCCTGTCCTCACTGCTGCCACAGAGTAAGAAGAGCCCCTCAAGGTTGTCACCTGCCCAGGGTCCCCCTCAGGCTCAGAGCTTGGCCAAGAAAGAGGCATTTGGCGGTCAGGTAAGCACAGGCCCTGCCTTTCTAGTTCTTGCCTTGAGGACTCTGACAACTGACCACTTCCAGCCCTTCTTGTCAGACTTGCTCACCTTCCCTTAGGACTGAGTTCTTCGGTGTGCCGATGAGAGCGTCACATCTCACTCCCTGTCTTCCTCCTTCCCTGCCTTTCCCCTCACAGACAGGTGATGGCTCTTCAGGATGAGAATGTAGCTAAGGGTACAGTGGGGGGACTGAGAATCTGGGGAAACGTCCACCTAATGCATTCCCTGCCTACCCCCCCACCCTTCCCTCGGGCTGGAAGTGCAGGGCTGCCTGCAGAATGAGACAGCAGGCAGAGGCGGGCGGTGGGTAATGGCATATCTCAGGCCAGGGCTCGCCCACAGGGACTTCTCTCTCACCCAGCATGCTGCCCTCTGACCACCTTCTGTGCTCCTGGGCCAGCTCCAAGAAGCCTGCCACACTGTGTAGGTGACAGGCAAAGGCGGTGAGAGGAATATGCTTTGAGGGGCCCCTTCACTTTCCTCATAAATTTCTTCTGAACTCATGAGGGCTTATGACTGATGTGGTGACTCAAGCAATTCTGGAATTTTGCTTTTTTGGTGATATAAAATAATGTGTAGAGTAAATTGGAGTTACTCTTGAATCAATGTATTTCTTTGACAGGTTGGTATTTACTGGATATTTGCTATCTTTCATTTTTATAGAAGCTTGCAAGAGAATTTTTTATGCCAGCTTATGTCCAAAGCAGCCATGGGTCCCACTGAATAGTTTTCCTAGCAGAGATGGTCAGGATTCATTGTTTTCAGAAGTGCTTCCAGAGTGAAAGTTTAACAGACCACCATTATGTTTTATTGCTTGGGTAGGGACCCTGTTTTCATATATTTTTGTTAGTTACAGATAGAGTAAGTCACGCAGTCTCTGCCTTCTTCTCCTACCGCCCTTGGCTTGACAACAGTTCCAGGTGACACGCAGTTTGGGGGTGCCCACTGCATCGGGGAGGCAGAGGTCTGCCTCAGGCTGCCACGGGAGGTTGGGGCTCTCTGTTCAGTGCGTGGGTTGAGTGCTGTGAAGCCCAGACAGTGAGCAGCATGCTGCAGAACACAGAGCCTGGGCTGTAGAGTCAGGCAGCTGTGCTCTGCGTGGCTCCTTGTTCACCGTCCTATCTCACACTGCTTAAACTCACCCTGATTTGCTTGGGATGATTATAATAGCATTTACTCCTGTGGTGTTTTTCATATACAACAACAATGATAGTATATTATACATAGCAGTAACAGTCATGTAACTCCTTTCAGGTTCCCAGAGTATGTGTGTGGGGGGGAGGAGGTCTTCCCACACAACACCAAGCAATTCTTGAACACCAGCAGGGTGTCCAAGAACTCAACTCAATCTGAGGCTGTCTGCCCGGAGACAGCACCAGATTCCCTATAGGTGAAGGGCTCCATCCTATAGACTGCCCTCCACCCCACTCTCCAGACATCCGTTGCAAGTCCCAGGCAGTTACCTGTGCTTCTGACCTACCGGCTACAGATTGGAGGTTCCCACGACCCCCACCTTGGGTTCAGTTAATTTGTTAGAGTGGCTCACAGAACTCAGGAAAACACATTTTTACCAGGTTAATAAAAGATACCGTAAAGGATACAAGTGAACAGCCAGATGAGGAGATACAGAGCGCAAGGGCCCAAATAAACGAGGGGGCCAGGCTCTGGCACGTGGAGGGCTTCTGGCTCCCCAGGCATAGATGCTCGCTCTGAGAGAGAGGACCGTTTCTCAGAGGCTTTTGTGAGGGGTTCATTGCATAGTCATGATTGACAAATCATTGGCCATTGGCTGACCAATGTCCACAGCCCCTGGGTGGGTCCAAAGTCTCCTTAACATGACAAGACATCCATTTCACCTTTAATACTGCAGTGTTTTCGGGAACTGCGGACGAAGACCGAGTATACCTGGTAAATATATATTTGGTCATCTGAATGACCAAATACCTATTTCTTGTGACTCATTATATCACAACCCCGTAGGGGGAGAATTAGTTGAGCTGATATAGGAGCCTTTGGTATCCTGGCAGGTTATAAGCACTTGACAGGTTTTAGCAGTGGTTGTATCTGTGAAGGTGCTGGCCAACTTGGTACCCCAGTCAGTTCCGAGACCTAAAGGGGCAGCAATGCAAACTGACTACAACTGCAGTCTCAGCATCCATGACGTTTGAGGCAGGCAAAAATCAGTCACAGTTATTCCTATCACTGGTCTTCTGAAATTCAAACCTTGAATTTAGAATTCCAGTACTGGGGAATGTGGCTGTTTTACTGTTTGCTTTGCAGGTCTTTTTTCATCATGCAATCTTTTAAAAGTGTAACATGATGTATGCAGTGCTAGGTCCCTTGAAATGTGTGTAAAATTATGATTACAATTCCATTAACTTAAAATGAAAGAAAACACAGAGATGGGTTCTTAGAGATTAAGCCTGTGACCTTATTCTTTGTGTTCAGGAACTAAGTATCATATGGTGAGGCTGAAGTGGGACCGGAAATTTTTTGTGCAGTTCACATTCAAGAGATGAGGGTAAGAATGTGTAATTTGTAGAAGTTATTTCTTATCTAGCTTCCGAAATACATTCAAACAAAGCTTGGGTCACCACGTGGTATGTTAACAGAGCACAAGGTAGCCCTCTTGCCTTTTGCTATTGGAGATGATAAATGTCTACAATCTGAAAAATCCTGTGGTTCGGGTATTTGTTTTAAATTGATTTATTAGATTTAACATTGATGTTTCAATTCTAAAATTAATTAGTACATCTGAGAGTCAAGGAAATCAGATTTTTCAAGTTGGAAGAAGCTTAAAGGTCATCTGGCTGACCATCCTGTTGGGTAGAGGAGCATGTTCTCTGACTGATTGCCTCCTGTGATGTGGAGCTCATTACTTGTCAGTGGGGATGTTTGCCTGTTAGAAAACCATTAGTAGAAACCTCTGAATTTCTACTCACTGAGATTAGCTTTGTCCTCAAGCTACATAGAATAAGGCTTCCTGTTAAAAAAGTCCTTGCTATCTTTTCCATGCTAAGCAGTCTGTGTTTAATCATCCCTCCCCCCACAACTGTTTACCTCTATGGCATGATTTCTAGACCCTTCACCACCCTGGTTCTCTTCTTTTGGTGGGAACACTAATTTTTTAATTCCTCTATTACAGTTGGTGACCAAATTTGAGTGAACAATCAGAGATGCTGTCTTACCAATACCAAATGCAGTTAATTGTATGATCACTTCCTATGATTTTAATGATATATTGCTTTTAACTCTGTAGAAAATGACATTGCTTTTTTAATCATTGCTATATTAGCTCATATTAAGCATGTAGTCTTTTTTCACTACTACCACCCCAGAGCTCCCTCTTTCCTTTTTACTATTCATGAATAAGCAAAAAAGCATAAGTTGTGTTATTAAATTAGTAATTCATAAAATGATTAGGCTTTCTTTTAAATGTTATTCATATATAGCATCATAAGTTTCAGTTATATCATCATTTTTGCCCATTTGTGTTCAGTCGTTGTAACTATCATCACCATTACTGAAATGCTTGTAGCATTATAGATGGCTGAATATATGGCAAAACACTCTCCGTGCTTATAATCTGAATTGAGAGGCACATTTTTTAAACAAACGGAAGTACCTGTGCTGTGAAACCACAATTCCCAAGCTCTTCTGGGATTTCTGTTACAATAGCCCCTAAGGACATCTCAACATCAACACAGTCTCACCCAGCCTGTAGTTTCACTCCATCCTTCCCTTCAGCTATAATTCCACTCCTTCCACACCCACCCACTAAGCTATGGGACCACAAGTGGGAATTATATTATTATAGGAGATAGCCTCTAATTGGCCCTGATGTGAAGAAAACAGTGTCCACAAAGTTCTGCATTTGTAGCTCTTATTAGTATCAAATTACCTCACAGCAACTGAGACATCAGTGGTAGGAACTGCTACCCTTGTTTTCCATGGATCTTAGCAGGATGGGGAAAAGGGAGCCCTCTTTCACATCTTTGATTTTGTAATGTCTGTGTTATGAGGCCCTGTCTTCTGGGGTGGATTTCTTTTGCTTCAGGTGAGACCAAACTGCTGGAACTTGCTCCCTGCCCCATTCGGATGACCGCGTGGGCAGCTCTATTCGGTCCACTGAAAATTAATTTATATCTACCACAGTGAGAAGTGGGAAGGTCAAGTGATACAACATTGGTTAGAATCTCTCTTCTGGACCATTGGAGATAGGTAGATACATAGAACATGACAAAATACAAAGTGGACCAGTGGAGTGCTACATGAATCCAGTAGTGAAGATTTTTATGCGGTTTGTTCTTAAAATAAAACTTTCAATTACGAGTTACATCACAGTAAACATTTATCTAAGTTGTGTACATCGTAGCTAGACACAAGTTTACCATAGCCTGCTTACTGAAGTGTTTTATGGGCGGCTGCATTCATCAGTTCTCAGCATATTATTTTTTGTTGTTGTTCACTGTTCTTTAGTAAATAACTTAGATAAAGTTTAAGGACAAGCTCTCTTTAAGCAGGAACTGGTAAGTCACATTTAGATCCATAGCTCTTTTGGTATAAGCCACCCTATGCTTATAAAGGTCATTCTTCTTAATTTATTGTAGTGTTTTTTTGTTAACACCTGTTAAAATTTCTGTTTTGAAATACTATCCTGCCCTTTAACCTGATGATGTCCTGGACGACTTCCTTGTCATTGTACTTCTCAGGGTCCTATTTCCTGTCTTGGCTGGGGAAACATTACAAAAGCTGGCTTTTGTGTCAGCTGGAGGGGTTTGCAGTCCATCCCAAAACTTCCTGTTCCATCATTTCAGACCAGTTGAATCGAGCACTCTGAACACCAAACACTGAGAAAGGAAAAGACACCATTTATCAGGTGTAGTGGGTGAGCAAGGAAAGAAAAGATTGCCAGAGCATCCTGTCTCCCCTCTGTCACAATCCCCACCTTTGGGGCCCAGGCAGGAGACCCCTGTGGTTCCCCTACTTTCCCAGGGCATGAATACAATACTACCTGGATTCTTTGCTCTTTTCTTCTCAAATACCAGTTTAAAGATCTCTTGGTCAGGTTGATGAATCTGTCAAACCTGCATAATAATTGTTGCAGACTTTTTGAGACTTGCCAGGATCCCACTGTTTTGGAAAACAGTTGTCAACCAGGAAACTGATCTTCCTTCTTCTCAGTACTATTTGTGTAACGCACGATGGAGTTTCCATGGCCACCTTTTAGATTCAGAAAACGTGGCCTCGACTGCTACTTCTTTTGTCTTTGCTATCAGAATCTTTGAGCTTTCAGAGTCATGTTTTGGAATTCTTCCATAATTTTATTTGAGTCCTCTTCTGCCTGGTATGTCTAGCTAAAGTTTTGGCAATTTTCTTTTATCTTTAAAAAAAAACAGCTCTTAGTTTTATTAATCTTTTCTACTGTCTTTTTTAGTTGCTATTTTATTAATTTTTGCTCTAACCTTTTTTCCTTCTACTAACTTCGGGCTTTATTGGTTCTTCTTTGTCTAGTTCCTTGAAGAGGTTGTTTATTTGAGATCTTTCTTTTTTCTTAATGTAGACATCTGTGACTGTGAACTTCCTTCTTAGAATGGCTTTTGCTACATCCCCTAAGTGTTGGTATGTTGTGTTTCCATTTTCATTTGTCTCAAGATACTTGTTTTCTTTGACTCATTGGTTGTTTAGGAGCATGTTGTTTAATCTCCATATATTTGCAAATTTTTTAGCTTTCTTCTTGTGATTGATTTCTAGTTTCATACCACTTTGGTGCTTGATATGATTTCAATCTTCTTAAATTTATTAAGACTTGTTTTGTGTCCTAACATATGATCTATCCTGGAGAATATTCTATGTATGCTTGAGAAGAATCTATATTCTGCTTTTGGATGAAATGTTCTATAAATGTCCATCAAGTCCATCTGGTCTAATGTGTAGTTTAAGACCAATGTTTCCTTATTGATTTTTCTGTCTGGATGATCTATCCGTTGCTGACAGGTGGGTATTGAAATTTCCTACTATTATTATTGGATTGTTGTGTATTTCTCCTTTTAGTTCTGTTAATATTTGCTTCATATATTTAGGTGTTCTTCTGTACTGTGCATAAATATTTACAATGTTGTATCTCTTGTTGGGTTGACCCCTATGTCATTATATGACCTTTGTCTCTTACAGTCTTTGGCTTAAAGTCTGTTTTGTCTGATGTCAGTATAGCTCCCCCCCGTGGAATTCTTCAGTCTGCTTTGCCCTCTGGGTCAGTAGCTATGGGGAACAGTCAGAGGATTTGTGTAATAAGGGCTGGTCCCCTTGGGTCACATCCCAGGGAGTGGGCTCAGCCCCCTGGGACCATGTGAGGGACACCAAGCTTCCTCAAGACCTCTCTGTTACCAATTATCTTGACCCCCTCCTGCTTCTAGGAAGGTGAGGGAAGCTTCTTACACTGTGTAAAATGGTGGAACCTGTTCAGTGTCCCACAGACCATGGGATACTTCTCCGGAATGGCCAGAAGCACTGAGAGAAGGGCCTTGTCTTGGTTATATTATCTAGCTTCAGAATTGTGACACTTCTTCTTATCTTTTCCATTCAGTGTCACTTTCTTCCATACGCTCCCTTCGTGGTATTGCTTTCTTCAAGTGTCTCAGAGTGTGTGGTTTGCTGCTGGATCTGGGTGTGCATCCCAGCCCCCTACAGTTCCTTCTGCACAGCAAGTAAAGCAACCTCTCTAAGCCTCAGTTCCTCATGTTAAAATCATGTCCTCATCTTCAAGGCCATGTTTGTAAAGTCCTTAATGTGGAGACTTGCGTATGGTAAGTGGTCTGTGGGTGTTATCTACATTGGTGCTGCTGCTGTTGGGTTTTTGCTTAGGTTGTTTCTTTTATCTTGACTGAGAACCCTACTGCTCCCAAAATAAGTCTGAATTGGGAGAATCAAATTCTTTCTCTAGAAGAAACATGTTTTACAAGCCTAAGTAGACACCACTGGAAGTTGCCTTAGTTAGAAAAACAAAAATAACAAATACCCTGTAGGTCAGCCCCAGTTAGACTCCAGGTAAACTAACAGTCCTTTACAATTTCTTTTCCTAACTGTTCACATGGCTTCAGGGTCCCAAGGAATCTGTGTTAATCATTGAAAGTGCTTAGTGTTAACATAAAAAAAACAAGTAGAAGAACTAGAAAGCAACAAGCAGACTTCGGTTGGGTTTATTCTCTTGACTTAAGCCTTGGGTACAAGTGGCTCTTGAGGAGGATGGTCTCAAACCCGAGGGGCTGTTTGTAGCCACATCTCTTTGCTAAAAGTATAAAAAAAGATGGGTGAGGGAGGCAGTTTTGGCCCTCACAATTTGGAATAAGGTTGGAAAAGGCCCAGCCTCTGGGAAGGTGATAGCTCCTTTTAAGAAGGCTCTAGATTACGAATATTCTGTCCATGAGGGTGGGGTAAGGGCTGTTGAATTCGTTTGCTGTAACCTTGGTTGACTTTATCACTCTTGTCATGGAAAGGAGCCAGAAGATGCCAGTCTCTTTCCTGTCCAGTTTATCTTGTGCAAAGGTCCTTGAGTTTCCAACAATTTCTGTTAAGAATTTCTAGTTGCCCAGTGATCATTCCCAAATACCTCATGTTCACATTAGCTGGCTTAGTCACACATTTGGCTCAACACCAAAGAGGGTATTGTGTTCCTTTTTTTCCCCTAGAGACGTGATTGTATGTTGCCTAAATATTTTTTTTGGTATGGTGCAGAGTTACTTGTGAAGGTTTGTAACACCCAGCATAGAGTCTGAGCTGACCTGCCATCGCATAGTCAGTTCTCCCAGCTTAACTGAAGCTAATTGTTCCAATCAGATCAGGGAGATAATGTGCATCTGTCTATCTGGGGTGATAGGTATGCTGGTGGCCTGTCCTCTCATAACGGAGTAGGGAATGGAAGGGAGGCCGTCCAGAGAGCTTGTTTCACTCCTGACTTGGCCCACCAGTGAGAGAGTGGCATTTCAGCAACCCCCTCTGCATGGCCAGGGAGGAGCCTTTCCCAGGAGCTGCTGGTAGCACAGCCACCATCTGTCTGCGGCTCCCCTCCTGGCCCCGGTGTCATGGCCTGGGCACAGACAGGAAGAGGCTTTTCACAGCCTGGCCTCTCCCGCTCTAGACCGCCAAGGGGAAGGATGCAGCCTGCGGGCCCAAGGACGGGAAGAGCGCCAGCAGCGGGCTGGCCGCTGGGGAGTCCAGCTGGTCGCAGCACCGGCAGCGGCGCCTGCAGGATCACGGCAAAGAAAGGAAGGAGCTCCTCTCTGTGACCGTGCAGGTATGGCTGTGCCTTCGTGTGTCTCCCACGTGGCTCCTGTGGGGGGCCGTGGGAAGTGGTGGGGTGGCGCGGGGCCCCCTCTCAGCCCTTCTGGTTTCCGCTGCAGTGTAGAGCCCGGGTTTGTCTGACTGGGTTTGCTCTCTAGCACTTCGGTTGTATTGTTCATGCTTGCCTGTCCTGGCGCCCCCTCTTCCCGATGAAGCATTTCCCTAAGCAGGGGCCGTAAAGGGCACGTGCTTATAAATATTAACATGTCACCAGTCCTGAGGTTTGGCAGACCTTCCCCTTGATTTAACCCAGAATCGCCCAGACTTGCTAGATTGTGGGGTCCCTTTCTGCTGTAGCCTCTGCTGGAGCTGCTGCCCTGATACAGCGTCGGGCTGCAGCTGGGCCCTTGCTCACTGAGCCCTGGGACCCCCTAATCTCATCCCTAAATCAACTGGTTGATCATTTATCTCCTAATGGGGGTAACTTGCCTGTTTTAAAGGCATATCTGCCAGGTACCAGCCTTGTACTGGTTCCAGTTTGTTGGCATAGGCCCTTAAGGCTTCAATTTCAAATCGTTCTGATCCAGCACCATGGGATTGAAGAATGGCACACCTCAGCTCAGCCACTCCCATTAGACGCCTTTTTGAGCTCAGAAGTCTCGCTTCCTCCATCACTGTGTTACTGTGGACCTGCCCTCCTACCACATGGAGGAGCGCTTGGAGGGGCCTCAGGAAGCAGAGCCCCTGGCAGGCGCCTCCGGCCTGGGTCAGGTCTGGGTGAACAGGTGGTGACACGGTGGCCAGGAGTGCACCAGGGAGGTGGAGACCGGGGCCCCTGCGGTGCCCTGGGCAGCCAGGTGTGGGGGGCCCTGCAGTGCCCGGCTTGCTCCCGTCCTGCCGCTGTCCTTGGATCTCTATCACTGTGCCTGGTGGGTCACAGGTCTCTTGATGCCCCCTTCCCAGGAGGAAAGGGGGAGCAAGTGCAGTCTCAGTTTCCACAGTAAAATGGGGTTAATAATAAGATCTCAGATGGTTCGAGATAATCAGTCAGTCACACGGTGTCTGTCACACTCAGCTGACCGGTTTTTGTTGTCACCAGCCAAGTCGCGTGTGCCCTGTGTCTGGTCAGCTGTGCCGGGGTGGGGTGCCCACAGCCCGCCACCCCTTCCGCCGGGCCTGGGAGAGGGGCTGGGTCTCCGGGAGGGGCCCGTGGGCAGAGCAGGCACCCACCTCACCTCAAAGCTCAGATCTCTTTCTTCTAGACCCTGAGACCACTGAGCGCCTCCCCCAGGGTGCTCTATCTGTAGTCTAAATGCCCTGTGAAGGGTCCCCAGATGTGGTGAATGGCTGGGCCCAGGGCAGACCTGTCATAGCTGACTGGTCCCTGCTTTGCTTGGCACAGTGTGCAGAGAAGAAGCCTGAAGCTGGTGGCCCCGAGACAGACTCCTGCCCCGAGCTCCACGCGGAAGCGCTGGACACGCTGACCCGGGCCTCCACGGCGGGCCCCGAGGGTGGAGGGGTCCACCCCGAGCAGCCGTTCATCGTGCTGGGGCAGGAGGAGTACGGGGAGCACCACTCGTCCATCATGCACTGCAGGTGGGTCCAGGCCCAGCCCAGCGGGGGCGGGGGGCTTCCAGCTGTCCGCGGGACAGTCCCCGAAGGACCATGGTCACCCTGCAAGAGTCAGAAGAGGGCCAGGCCACTGCCATCAGGGTCCTGTTCAGACCCTTCAAGGCCGCATCAGCATTTCTGTTTTTTCTAACTGGGGGAGCCTCTGCTGTGGGAGCAAGTTACTGTCTATTTGAATGCACTGACTCGATTTTAATTTGCTTTGTGTTGGTACTTTCAGGTAAACATTTACCATTCATGTGTTTGTACTTGCCCAAGGTATAAGCATGGCCTTTTATGGGCAGACCCTTACGGAGTGTGCCTCCAGGGTAGGGGGCTTCCTTGCCCGTGACAGTGATGGGCTCTGTGACTGTGGGGCAGGAGGCTCTCAGTCTCCAGGTTCTGAGTGCCCGAGGCCAGGGCTATGTGCCTCTCGCCGACTGTCCTATCCTCAGTGTTTACCACAGGGCTCAGTACATAATAGGTGCTTCATGAATAGTTCTTAGACAAATAAATGAAAGAATATTTCTAGAAATAGTCCGTGCCCATCCTTAGAGTGTAGCATTTCAGGATTATATTTTAAAACGGTTGGAAAGCGAAAAGCAATCATCTGGGCATTAACTGAAGAGGATGATGGACAAGGGCACGGATGCTAACAGCTTCCCCTTTCTTCCATCTCAGAGTGGACTGCTCCGGGAGGAGGGTGGCCAGCTTAGACATAGATGGAGTCATCAAGGTGTGGTCCTTCAATCCCCTCATGCAGACCAAAGCGTCCTCCATTTCCAAGTCACCGCTGCTCTCGTTGGAGTGGGCCACCAAGCGGGACAGGCTGGTGAGTAACGTCCGGCCCTGCTGCTTGCTCTGCGGTCGTGAAGAGCTCCCCAGGGCTCTGTCAGTGGTCTGACGCCACAGGCTGAATTGAGGCAGCCAAACTAACCCCTCCCTTCTCTCTTACTGAGCATTGGGGGACCACATATTCAGGACTGTCCCCAAAGGCCCCTGTTTAGGGACAGGAGGGAGTGGTGGATAACCAAGAACTGAAATTAGGCAGCATGGGGACCAGACCTGGAAACCCTCTCCTGTCAGATGGCATGGGCTTCTCCCGTCTGGTGCTCTGGCTTGCTTCTCCTCCTGCCCGAAGAGACTGGCTTCCATGTGCCCCCCTCAGCTCCTGTCATCTGTCCCAGCTGCCAGCAAGCCACCACGAGTATTTGCAGCTCTCTTTCTGACTGCTGAGCCCCTTGCCTGTGCCAGGCCCAAGGGAAGCAGCTTTAGTTTGTGGGGGTGGCGGCCTAGTTGGTCGTTCCCGCTGGTCTAGTCCGGAGCTATGAATACAGTGTTCTTTGTTCTTTTTCCTTCTGCGCTTTATGTTTGAGAAAGGATTTGTCATTAAGGAGGTGAAGTTGATTTTCAGTGTTTTCTTTCACTGATTTCCCAGGTATCGCACCAGGCAGCCCAAAGGGCAAGGCCTTGGTCCTTGCAGCTTGTGACAGCTGTGGGAATTGTCCTTGTGGCAGTAGGGTCTTGGGGCTTACCCGGTACCGAGTAATTTGCCGAGTGAACGCTGAAGCCAGGGCATAGGTAATATCTCTGGGAGTGACCTCAGCTGCTTCTGGTGCTTTTCATTCTGGAGATACTTGTTAGTATCTTTGAAGCTTTTCACCAAATAAATACAAATCCCTTGAAGGCAAGGATAGCCTCTTTTTTTTTCCTGGAGGCCTTTACAGGCCCGGAGCCTGAGCTGTCCTCAGAACATGCAAATGGGGCAGTTACCCAAGCTGGCGGGCTGCGGAGACCAGCACTAGGAAGGTGGCGACGGGTAGACCAGCAGCATGAAGGAAGGACTAGAACTGCTGGGATTTAAAACTGCCAGAGAGGGAGGGAAGAGCAGGGGGTGCCACTGAGTCAGCCAGCACCTTGCCAGGGGCATCTGAGGGGACACCTCTCTCCCAGCCACAGACTCCTGTTGTGGTTTTGCTTCTGTTGAAGCTCAGCTCTGATGTCTTTATTTACGATTTTTCAGTTAAGTCCATTTTAGCCAGATTTCGCTTGAACGACCTGGATAAGTGTAGGTGAGCCTCACACCTGCCACCCGCCTGGACCCATACCTCGCTCCCAGCAGTGGTCCTCCCTAACCAGGCCTGACCCCCATGCTGATCTCCACATCCCCTGCCCTTCTCATTCCAGCTTCTGCTGGGCAGTGGTGTGGGGACAGTGCGCCTTTATGACACGGAAGCCAAGAAGAATCTCTGTGAAATCAGCATCGACGACGACATGCCCAGGTGAGCTGGAGCCCGCTCCCCCGCTGTCACTGTGCTGTGCGGGGCCTGGTGCTTTGCTGGGCTTCCTCCGCATGTCCGGCAGTGGGACGCAGCCCAGAGCCCGGGCGCACCCTCTCTGTGTGGGCGGCCGAGCGTTGACCCAGCCTCACGTGTGTTGCAGAATCCTGTCGCTTGCCTGCAGCCCCAGTGGGGCCTCTTTCATCTGTTCCGCGGCAGCTCCGAGCCTCACCTCGCAGGTGGACTTCTCGGCACCAGATATCGGCAGCAAAGGCGCTAACCAGGTCCCTGGCAGGCTGCTGCTGTGGGACACGAAAAGCATGAAGCAGCAGGTACAGACCTGGCCCTGTGGGTCTCTCTGGGATCACACTCCCGGGGTAGCACACTGCCTTCACTTCCCTGTTTTTCTGTCCAATCGCTTCTGCCCTTTGCTTTGGTCTCCTCAGGTTTTGATTTGTGAGGATATTTCAAAGCTTAAGTGTTGAAAAGTAGTAGTACTCCAGGTGGGTGGCTTGCTGGGAACTAGTCACTCAGAATTGTGCCACAAGCTTAGAAGTCAAATAGAGCCTATTAGAGGGCCCTTGTGGCTTATTTAAACACTTTAAAATTGAATTTTTGTTTATATTTAAAGACTTTGGGGCAGTTTCAGGTTCACAGCAAACCTGAGGGGAAGGCACAGAGGGTTCCCGTGTGCCCTGCGCCCCCACACATGCGCAGGCTCCCACCAACACCCTCCGCCAAGCAGTGCACCTGTTACAGCGGATGCACCTGCACTGACACCTCGTGGTCACCTGCAGCCTGTGGCTGGCATTAGGGTCTGTTCACTCGTGGTGGTATAACCTATGGGTTCGCACACATGGACGGTGACATGTCCACTGTGACCCTACGGAGTATTTTACTGCCCTAAGAGTCCTCTGTGCTCCGCCTAGTCATCCCTCTTCTTCCAACTCAGATCTCTATGCTGTCTCCATAGTTTTGCTTTTTCCATAATATCATAATCCGACTGTGTTGGAATCACACAGTCGCCTCTGATGGGCTTCTTTCACTTAGGATTATGCATTCAAGTTTGTTTTTTTGTACTGGAGTCTCCTTCTGACTGCCTGATAGCTGAGAATTACATGAAAAGTACAGCAGTAGCTAGAAGAAGTAGGACATGTTAGTATCCTTAAGAAGTGACAGCCATGTGAAAGCCTGCCCGTGGGGCCCTGGGGCCCACCTTCCTCATGAGCTGAGGACCTGTTCCTACCCAGAACACTAATAGATGCTGGCAGCTGTGACCCTGAGCCCTACGACTTCAAATGATGCTTGAACTCACCTATTTAAAAAGCAGTGATGTTCCTTATCAAAACCAGTTCTGGTGCTCAGAAGTGGTGTGGCCCTTGTGTTGCGTAAATTGTTTCCTGATGTTAGTGGGCACTTGAACAGTCCCCATCTCTTAGATGGGCTGTGTTCCAAGAGCTCAGGTTGCCCTTCATGCATCTGCCTGCAGGAAGGCAGTAGAGTCCCAGCTGGAAGTCCCAGCCCAGGTCGCAGGGCCACAGTCAGATTCCTGACCCCCCGCCCACCCCCCGCCACATCTGTTCTCCTCTCTAGCTTTCCTCACCTTGGCAAATGTTTCCCACTCAGAAACAGGGTGCCTTTCTGGAGCCATTTTTCTCCCTTGCCTGTCACTATCAATCCGTGAGCAAACATTGTCAGTTCCACCTCCAAAACATGTTCCCAGGGGCACACAGTAGACCTACTCTCAGTGCCCCTCTGCTGCCCAGCTGCGGGACCCCTGTGCCCCATCCTCCCCGCTGCCTGGGGGCTGGGCAGACAGTGTGGCATGTCACACTCCTTCTTGCTCTTCCAGGCTCTCCGTCCACAGTCCCTCCCATTCCTGCATGGTCTGCCCTCCACTTCTCCAGCCTCCTGGTCCCTTCTGCCCTCCTAACCTGTAGTGCAGGCCCTTGCTGCATGCTGTCCCCTCTCCAGATGGTTCTTACCCCCTCTTCCTGGCAAACATCTGCCTCCAGCATCTCTCAGATACTTTCCCCTAAACAGCCCAGGCTAATTAAGCCCTTCTTAGTCTTATTATCCTCTGAGGCACGTATGATTTGTAATTTTATGCTTACTTGTTATTTTTAAATTTTTAATTAGATATTGAATACATACAAAAGGATATTGAAATCATAGGTGCGTGGTTTAATAAGAAGGCCATAAAATGAGCCCTTTTATACCATCGCAGTTTAAAAGTAGAATATTACCAATACTATTTACGCTCTTGTGTGCCCCTCCCCAGCCTCAGTCTCTTTTCCCCATTTTTTATTTTCTTACATTTTTAAGTTCAGCTTTTTTTTTTTTTAACTAGCTCCAGTTCTCCCTGGATCCAGAACCCATTGCCATCAACTGCACAGCCTTCAATCACAACGGGAACCTGCTGGTCACCGGGGCTGCTGATGGCATCATCCGGCTGTTTGGTAAGCAGGGTGCTCCTGGCGGTCCTGGTCCCTTCCTTAAATGTCCTAGAGAAGGGAGTTGCATTTTTGCCTTCACAAAACCCTGATTCAAGATGCACCTAATAGAGCTTAACTTTGGTCAGAGTCTGCTGTTCTCAGAACCTCCGTGGTCATTCACCTTGCAGATGGTCAGTGCCAGTGAATGTGGGAGTGCTGGGGCTCAGTGGTCCTTCGATTTTGAGCTGTTCAAACAGTCCTGGTGGCCTGAGTGACAGCCAGGATGACACACCAGAGAAATGCCATCCTGTCCTCGGTGCAGCTGGGTCATTCTCCCTGTAGAAGCATGAGAACGTATGCACTGGAGTCATCTGCCATATTGTTTAACACACCCCATGCCAGGCCTGCCCAGGAGACTCAGAGTTGGAGAGTCTTAGATGGAACTGGGGTCTGTATCCTTAGCAGATCCCCTAGGTGCCCTGGTGGGAAGTTACAGAGGCCACTAGGAAGGACTTGTGGGTCCCTCTAGACTTGTGGGCTCCCCAGATGAGCTCAGGCTTCAGTCAGGGATTCCTGAGCCTCTCTTTTTACCCAGCCAAAGAAACTGCTATTTAAGCTAGGTTAAATAAAAGATTAGATCCGTGGAGGAGATAATCAGCAAGCCGAAGGACCCAGTGACCCCTCTTTGACAGGGGTCAGTTCTGGGAGCTTGTCAGCTTCAGGAGGCCCTCTGCCTCTGGAACAGCTCCCATCCACTGGGCAGAGGGCAAGCGGTGCCTCCGTGCTGGGCAGCTGCCTCCTCAGGGGCCAGACAGGAATCTTAGTGGCGTCTCCTTGCCTCAGATATGCAGCAGCACGAGTGTGCTATGAGCTGGAAGGCTCACTGCGGGGAGGTCTACTCCGTGGAGTTCAGCTACGATGAGAACACCGTGTACAGCATCGGCGAGGACGGGAAGGTAGGCCCAGACCTGGGTCGCATTGTGCTGTGGGGAGCTTGGTCACTGGGTGGTCACAGCATGGATGCCTAGGGTTTGCTGGGGGCCGAGGACAGCTTCCCACAGGCAGTGCATGTAGGCCTGAGCAGAGTCAAGAAATGTAAAAAGGAAGCTGGGTTAAAAAAGGAACAGTAAGTGCCCCTTGCAGATCCCTTCTGGAAGGATGCACCAGGGTCCTCGGAAAGGGAGTGGGGTGGGCGTGGGGGAGGCAGAGGCTGGCCGAAGACTTGTTTCTCATGTATCCCCTCCTGTGCCTTTTGGATTTCACATGGTCTATAAGTGCCCCTTGCAGATCCCTTCTGGAAGGATGCACCAGGGTCCTCGGAAAGGGAGTGGGGTGGGCGTGGGGGAGGCAGAGGCTGGCCGAAGACTTGTTTCTCATGTATCCCCTCCTGTGCCTTTTGGATTTCACATGGTCTTACCTGTATTAGCCATTAAAAGTAGTAATTACAAAATAAATTCTTCATTTGAAAACTATGGGAAGGGATTTCTAAATTAAAGCCTGACTTCCTATTGTTTGAGTAGGATTCTCAGTTAAGAAGTCGTCTGTCACACCCTGGTAGCCCGTCCATGGGTAGGCTCAGGATTACATACCCCGCTCCCCCAAAACATGACGCTAGTTGATAACCACATTGCTTGTGTTCAGTTGATTGCCCTGCTCAGAAACTGGAAGTATATTTGGAATTTGTCATCTCTTTGTTTCTAAGTCAGAAAAACCTAGTCAGGTTCTAACCCTGATAATGATGGTGATTGATAATAACAGCAGTAATAGCACTGGGCACCTGAAGCATTCCCCCTCCTTGAGAGATGGGAATCCATGCAAAGGCGGTTGCCTGTCCTTTTCCTCTCCTGGATTCAGTCCAGAGAGAAAGACATGAAGTTGCTGACTCTCTGCTATATTTTATTCCTTAAAAAATGCTGAGATTATGTTGGGAAGAGATGGGATGGGGCTCATCCCAGTGCCTCTCCTGATGGCCCATAGAGGCGTCACAATGAGTCTGGGGTCGTCCTCGCCCTGTGGTGGCCGCCCCTGCCAAGGGACAGCTCTGGTGATGCTTACTGTTGTAGTTCATCCAGTGGAACATCCACAAGAGTGGTCTGAAGGTGTCCGAGTACGGCCTCCCCGCGGATGCCACCGGCCCCTTCGTGCTGTCCGGGTACAGTGGCTACAAGCAGGTTCAAGTGCCCCGGGGCCGACTCTTTGCTTTCGACTCAGAGGGAAGCTACATGCTGACGTGCTCCACCACAGGAGGCGTCATCTACAAGGTACTGGGGGTGTTGTGGTGGGCAGTGGGGTGGTTCTCAGGTCTGGGAGATGCGGGGGCTGGGGCAGAGTGGGGCATGCCCTTCCTTTCTGCTCAGGCATTCGCTGTCCTCTGACAAGAACCTGTCCCTTCTCTGCCTGTGTTTCTTGGGAGTAGTACCTCCTGTAGAAAACACTGAGGAACAGGGAGAAGGGGTGGGAAGTGTGTTGGAGGAACCTGGCCCAAATGGGTAAGTGCTTCTGTGCTCTTAGTCACTCCAACCTGAGTACAGACTGATTCTTCTCTTGGCAGTCCTGTGGGTCAGGGCCATTGCAGTCCGTGGCTGAGACAGACGTCTGGGATGACGTGTCAGACCATGCTGTAAGGTGCCCACTTTGCCTTCGTCCCTCAGCTTATATGCTTGTTTTAATGCTCTTGTCAGAGCTGCTCTGGTTCATGTACTTTTTATTTGTACAATTATCTAAAATTATAAACATCTTCTATTTCCTTAGCACTACCAGATTGGTGGGAAGGACTTGGGCTGTGGCCTAGACACACATGTTCAGTACCACGTGAATTCAGTTCTTAGCCTCAGTGTTAACTCTGCCGATGGTGGTGTGTAGTCTGTAGGGACAGAGTCACAGGTCGAATGTTCTCTGCCAGGGGCTGTCCTGTGCTCATTGCCTGGCTCATCAGCGGCCAAGCTGTGCTCTGGACAGCACCTGTGTGCAAGTGTCAGCCTAGGCACATGGGAGAGGAAGTGTGACCTGCTCCCCTGGGGCTCACACTCAGATGGGAAAGAGACGTGAGCACCCACCATGGGGACAGTGCGGAGTGAAAGGTCCTGAGTGGAGGAAGCCGCTGGGGACTGAGTTCTCAGGGAGGACCCCTGGCGGGGGGATCCTGTGGATTTGAGGCCTTTGAGGAGGCAGAGGAGTTGGGAGGATGGGGAGGAAGGCAGGCCTGGGGGCCCCACAGGGGCGCAGGGGAGCCAGGGGTCATAAGTGAGGGGCTGGGGGGGTGCCGAGACAGGAGTAAGGAGCCTTCTGGACTGTGACCTGCTGCGTGGCCCTGGCAGTCTAGTTCCCTGTCGTGAGGCTCTTATTTCCTGCAGGTGATGATTTGGGTGGCTCTTGCCTCTCCTTTAAAATTAGCTCCATACAGTGACTGCAGTGGGGGCTTGGGGGGGCCTTGATTATATGGGTGAATGTAGTGACCACAATGTTGCTCATGTGAAACCTGCATAAGATTGTATATCAATGATACCTTAATAAAAAAAAATTAGCTCCATTGTTTCTTGTAATTGCTACTGGGAAATACTGTGAAAAGCTGTTCACAAGCCTACTTTCATTATTAAAAATTGAGTTTCAGGTAGGCTGTATACTTCTCTCTGTATAATTTTATGTGTGTTCTGTATATGTATTTTATTTTTAATCATGCAGCCTTCTGTCATTTGGCCTAATGAGTTCATACTGATTTGTAGTCAGACTTGATGTTCCTCTGTATAATTTTTGAAATGCCAATAATGGGGTCTAATTACTTAAGGAGTATAATGAACTTCAGGTCCCAGTTTCACAATCTATAGACAATTTATGATTTTTAAAGATGTTTTCTCCATGAAGGCCAAGTACTTCCTGTCTTGCCTGCAGATGTTGTCTGCAGCTGGACTGATTGTTGATCAGTGTGCTCCTGGTTTCCTTCCTGATTACCATCCACTCTTTGCACCGGAGCCTGAGTCCTGGCTGGCGGGTGTGAAGGGAGCCTCGTGTGTGCACTGCCTGCGGCCCACGCTGCACTGCTCGGGGCGCTGCAGGCCTGCCACACGGCAGGAGCTGACCAAGAGCTGCCCTCCTGGGGCAGCAAGGGCAAAAGCAGGAGAGTCAGGACAGAGTGCCGAGGAGCAAGAGATGATGCTTGAAGAGAACACCTGGGCAGGTGTTCGGGGTCTTGAGCCCCAGCAAGGAAAGGCTGCAGAGAAAGTTCTCTGTCTTTTAGAGTGCATCGGGGACTTGATTTCCACTTAGGATGCAGGGGTACCTTTAGTCAGGATAGCAAAGGCATTTCCTGGGACAAGAAATTAAACTGAGACTTCCTGGGAAGGTGGGCATGTGTGCCTGTGCACACCCTCAGCTTGGGGTGGCGGCCTCCAGGCTCGTGGTGGTTTGGTGCATTAAATGGCTACGTTTGTGAACTGTGTCAACTGATGCCTGCTCTTCTCTCCTGTCCTCTTACAGCTAAGTGAGGATGAGAAGGTTCTGGAGAGCTGCTTGAGCCTGGGCGGCCACCGAGCACCTGTAGTCACTGTGGACTGGAGCACGGCCATGGACTGTGGCACCTGCCTCACGGCTTCCATGGATGGCAAGATCAAGCTGACCACCCTCCTGGCCCATAAGCTCTGATGGCACCTGCCCCAAGCAACACCCACAGAAGCAGTATTATCTTGGGGGGTTGGGGGAGGCAAAGGAAGACAAGATGCTTCGCTTCCAGCTTCCTGCCTGTGCTGGCCATCTTCAGGGGGAGACTGGCCAGAGGGCTCGGGTACTGTCCTGCTGCGGCGACTGGAACGAGGGAGCCGTGGAGCAGCGGCACGTGTCCCCGGAGGCCAGCGGGCAGAGGCACGCTGCAGACGGTGGGGTGCTCAGGAGGCAGGAGATGCAGGTGATGGCTGCTCTGTTGGCCCAGGAGAGATTGACAGTATTTTGTATATTTTGCGCATTTTCTTTTCTTTTTTTAAAAAAAATGCTCTTGTGGCCACCTAGCGTCTCTAGAATGTGTGTGTACAGCAGAACGCTCCCGTCACCCTTGGCCTGGCAATGGTCAGCAGCGAGCTTGGGCCCCACTGGCTCTTCCGGCCTGCCAGGAGGCGGGCTGGGTGCGCTGCACAGAAGCAGCTCGTGTGCCTTTACTTCCCTCAGGGCCGGTGGCGCGTCTCGGGATGAGGCAGGGTCTGAGGCTCTGCTCCCAGCCGCCCTCCCTTCCCCAGGGGCGGTGGTTTCCCAGTCCCTCTGTCGCTGGTGCTCCTCTCATTCTTTGGACTTGGGCTCCGAGGGTGGCATGGAGCCAGCTCCCAGGCCCTCTGCCAGAGCACGTCAGCCAGGTTGCTGGGGCTGGAACTTGGGATGCCAGCCATCCCCCCTGTTCCCACTGCACCCACAGCCCCACCCATGGCCCACCCTCGGCTCCCTGGCCGGGGTGGGGGGACCTTGAAGAGGCAGAGGCTCCCACAGGGTGAGGAGAAATGGGAGGCCTCTCTTCTCCCGCTCGCATCTCCATCTGTGGTGGGCGAGGCCTGGGCCTGGTGCTCCAACACTTGGCGGGGCAGCCTTGCTGCAAAGCTGCTTGGCATAGTCATGGTAGAGCCTCTGTGGGCTCCAGCCCAGTTCTGGGGGTGCAAGCCTGGAGTGGGGGTACTCCCACTTAGCTCCTTTTGGAAAAATCTTGAAGGAATTGGGACTAAAACTGGATCCATTGTGCTGGGAGTTGGGGGTAAAGTAGGGAGATATTTTTGTGGCTCAATTATGAGAAAACTCCAGAAGTCACACATTTGTATACTCACCTCGCTCTTGTTTTGAGCTTGGCTCGCATTTGGGTAACTGATTGGGTGATGGATTCTACAACACTGCCTAAAAATGCAAAACCAAACCAAAGCACATTAACCTCTGATCTTTTGAAATTAGCAAATGCAGTATAACCCCTTGAGCGTTGAGGCCAAACCTGCCCCCTCCTGGCCCTCACTCCATTCTCTGTGCTTGTCAGGATGCGGTCATCCTGGTGTCCCTCCCTGTCCCCCCACCACCCCCTCCAGGATGAGCTCTCATCCTCTCGTAAAGCATGTCAATAAAACTTACCTCCCCTTCTAATACCTGTCCAGCATCTACCAAAACCGCAGTGGGACTCCTCCATTATCTTGGGCAATGGCCATGTAGAAGAAAAGTACCAAGCCAGACCAGTGTCAGCCCCTGAGCCCACAAGCCTGGTGCAGGTGCGGACCTGGCTCTGGCCTGGGCCGCGTGAGAGCCCATTGGGCATTGCTCTCTCGTCTTTGGGACCTGTCTGCACTTGCGGCTTTGCTCAGGCCCCCTGAGTGTGCCATGGGGATGTTGCAGCCCATCCAAATCCCACAGCTCAGGTTTCCTATCCCTGCTTGAACTTCTCTCCCTGCCAGCAGAAAACTTTTTATGCAGACACATAGGCTTCCTGCTCCTCAGACCTCATTTTTCAGCTGGCTGTGGCAAGAGGTTTTAAAGAGACAAATATGGAGGGAGTGATCCACTAACAGCAAGTATTTTCTGTTCCTTAACAAACAACATGATGCTTCTCCTCCAGTTAGACTTGGGTTTGTCCTGGTTTACAACTGGTGAGATCAGAGGAAACTAGATATCAGTGGTTTTAATACCTTTGCAGAAGCAGGTCCTGCCCACGTGGGTTGCCCTCCTGAAGAGGCCGGAGGCAGAGCCCAGGTTTAGCCCACAGCTAACTGACCCCAGTGCATGGCAGGTTGGTTTCGTGACTTGAAACCATCAATTTAGCTCCTTAAGCTTCCATTATTTAAACCTTCCCAGCCCAGCCTACCGCCCTAGGACTGAGGATGAATGTTCGAGAAGAGAGGTGAATATGCTTTAGAGAAACCAAGGGCACTCTGCAGCTGGAAGGGACGGATAGCTTCTGGTATCAGGCTCCAAGCTTCAGATCAAGGTCCCCTGCCATGCACCTCCAGTATATGGAGAGTATTCCATTATGAGCTGGTTTGTTGTAAATCATGTTTCAAATGGCTGTCTTGCTAATTTCACAATTTGGGGCTGACTGTTCTGATTATCCTTTTACCCCAAAATGCAGAAGGTTCACTGTGTTTGTGCTTGCATTCTTAGGTCAGGTCCCCAGCCTGGGGGTTTCTTTGCTGGTCTCTTTTAGGCTGCTTTAAGCAGCAAGTATGATTTTAATTAAAACTAGGCACTTAACTCTACTGTAAACTGTAGTGCTCAGCATCAGGCTGAAAGCAAACCACCCAGGCCACCTGGGCATCTGTGTGGAGGTGCCCTGTTCACAGAGGGAGCACCTTGGCCGCCAATCTGAGTGTTAAATACGGGTAACACATACTCCCTTATTTTAAGATAACAAATGGAAACAGAGTTTCTCTTCCTGCCCCTTGTGCCCCCTCCCCCAAGGTGCATGCCCCCAGCAGAGTGCATTGAACTTGGTTCCTGTAGGAATTCAGAGCTTGCAGAAATGCAGACCCTATTTCCCTAGTTTCTGATTCCGGGGGCCCAGGGATTGACACTTTAACAAAGTCTGACCAGCAAGCCTCAAATAGGGCCACTTTTGGGAACATTTAAAGAAAAATTTTGCTAAATAGGAACTTGTTAAAGGCATTAGGGCAGACCTTATTTAAGGGGCCTACAACGGGTTTTGTAGTAGGGGAGAGATGGGGCTTAACTCCAATTACAACAAGGCAAAGTGGGAATTTATAGCCAAGGATCAGGGCAGCGGTCAGCGGGTGGAAAATTACTAAGAGGATGAATGTTCGAGAAGAGAGGAGCAGCGAGGCTCAAAAGTCAGGGCCAAGTAAAGAAGAGAGTTTAGAGGAGCCTGGCTGGAGTCTGGCCAAGGAGAGACTGTCAGGACCGGGGACAGCAAGACCAGGCCTGTCGGTCATCCGCCCGCAGGCCCCGGGTCGGTGGCGGGGCTTGCTGACCTTCGTTCGCCGGCAGGGGGCGCACCCGGGCCTTTGCGCCCGCAGCCTGTGGGAGCCGGAAGTACGGGGCCGCGCGGAGCCACAGCCGGGCCAGGTCCCCACGGACGCTGAGGTCCAGGTGGGGCACGGGTCCCCACAACCGCCCCCAACCCACCTCCCTGGCCGCCCCGGAAGCTAAGAAGGGGCCGCTCGTCCGGGAGGCTGGAAGCCCGGCACCGCGGGCCGGATTGAGCGCGCCGTGCGGTCCCCAGGTCAGCGCGGCCCCGAGTGGACGTCGCACCGCAGGTTGACGCTGGCTTGGTCGCTGCGAGCACGCGTGGCCCGGAGCCGCGGCTGGCTGCGCAGCGGGGGTGCGGGCGCATCGCCTGCCGGCGGGGCCCGGGTTCCCAGCGCCTGCGCTTCTCGGAGCCGGGGGCTGCCCGGCGGGCCGTTGGGCTCGGGGTATAGAGCCTCTAGGAGCTGGGTGCGAGACGTGGATGGCTATTTCAGAGCTTTCCGTGACCTTGTGCGAATCCTAAGGCACCGTTCCTCGTCTGGGAGATGGACTTACACCGCCTGCCTGGGGATCAAATGTCTGTGCATGGACCGCCCCGCGCCTAGCGCCTAGCAGTGCTGTAGCAGTGGGAATGACTTCTTACCAGTGTCAGTATTTTGACAGAAATGAGGCAGTGGCGAAGGCCTGTCCTCTGGCCAGACGAGTTAGAATGATTCCTGCTGATTCTCCTTTTAACGTTGTCGACAGCCATTCCAGATGAGCAGTAAATGACGGAGCTATGATTCAGACGAATCTCCCTGGCTGACCCTTTTCTAGGCAAACCTCGGCCCCAGGCAGAGCCAGTGTAGGTGGGGCCGGGAGCTGATTTCAGGGCTGCCTGCTACGTGGAGGGTGAAGGACCTGCGCTGTTTGAGTTACAGGTCGGGGACTATGCTTTAGGAGGAGGGGCTGAGGCCCTTTGGGGTTCTGCACCCGGAGGCTACGCAGAGCTGTGATCTCTGACCTCTTCTGCCGGCTCACCTTGGGCCAGTCGGAAGTCTCTGAATAAGGAAGGGTGTCTCTGTTGTGAAACCTTGCTGTGAATCGTATGGCCTCAGGGTTTCCTGTAACCACACCGTGGTAGAGGAAACAGCAAGTGTGGAGTTGGGG